TGTGAGGCCCCAGGGCTGCTATGAGGGGCCGAAGGAACGAAACCACTCCACCTTCCACTTTTTCAATGCCCACATGCACCATGGAGCTTAAAGAGGTAAAACAAGACCTACACTTCCTGCTTGCCTGGAGAATACAGCCATCTACAAAGCTAATTCATACTCATAAGCATTAGGTTGTTTTCACCCTCCTAGATCAGCAGAAACAACCAAAGGAGTAACTCCCATGGAAACAGCGTGCCCTGCGTGTGAAGGTCTCTCTAGAGCATCGCTGCACCTCCCAGCCCCTCCGCGTGCAAGGCCAGCACACCCAGCCAAGCCAGAATGCTGGCCACAGAGGTACTTCTACATTTTTCTGGTATGTGAAAAAACAAAAGGAAAACAGTATCAGTAAAATTAAATATATACTTTATCTAACCCAATAATCAATGAAAACTATTAATGATGTACTTTACTTTCTTTTCCACGAACTAAGGCTCTGAAATCCATTGTGTATTTACTGTTATGGCACATCTCAATTAGGGCTAGCAAGCCCTGGTGGTTCAGTGGTTAAGGCGCTCGACTGCTAACTGAAAGGTTGGCAGTTCAAAACCACCAGCAGCTCCGCAGAAGGAAGATGTGGCAGCCTGCTTCCGTGGCGATTTACAGCCTTGGAAACCCTACGGGGTCACTATGAGTCAGAACTGACTCGACGGCAGTGGGTTTATTTACACTGACAGCGCATCTCAACTAGGGCTCATCCCATTTCCCGAGCTGGGAACTCAAATGTGGCTTCCCTACCGGGCAGCAAAGAACTAAACCTTACATGTCACTTGTACGTGACAAACCTTCATAGCTGGGTCCAAATAATTAAAAATATTTGGGAAGAGGCAAGTCTTATCTGTCCTCAGTTAAAAACCACTCTGTGGAAAGGCTGATGAGTCAAGTTCAATTGACCTCAAACATCTTCTGGGCTTTTCCTCTCTGTCAGTGAAGTGATAACTTGACTATGAACATCAGCACTAAACTGGGAACCTATTACATGGAAACCCGGCTCTCACTAAGACCAGCAGGACTTCTTGCCTGTCCCCAGGGAGCCTGCAATCTGAAAGAGGGGTCAGACAATCACCTGCTACAAGATAAGTAAATGCAAGATAAAAAGGGGCACAAAGAAGAATGCAATTAACCCCAACTGGTGAATTCTGATGTACCAGGTAACAATGTAAACTTTAAGACACCCACCAAAAGGCCAAGTGGGAGTTACGTATGACCAGCATTCATTCATATCCTGACCTTTCTCAACCCTTATTTCCAACTGCACTGACTATACTTCCAAGTATGAATCTGCACAAAACTTTATACATAATTTGTATTAAAAACACATAAGGCAGAGAACACTAACCAGAAAAGGCACGCCATAAACCAACATCTCTGCCGGTAATTCTGATTAGAATAATCAGTGATTTCCTGACAGAAGACATCCTTCGTCAAAGCTTTTGTTTGTTTGCTTTGTTTTGTTTTTAACAGAGAATGTTAATACTCCTAGATTAAACAGAGATTAAAATTGGGTAAAAGTGTAGAAACTATATCTATCTACCTATTCCTCCCCGCAGATAAATACTCTGAACGTATCTTCAGAAAAGCCATAGCTACAGAGAAAAGCATGAAGACATTCTAGCACAAACACCTAACTGCTGAGCATCCCAGACAAGAACTTGCTTCTCATCAGGACAAAGATACATGCCTGCACACTGTTATTTACCCCAAGACACTCAGAGAAAACTATTTTATGGATGAAGGAGCCCCCGGCTACGGAGAACCTCTTCATAACCTCACAGTTTGTTCCACTGGTTCAAATCCATTATAAAGACTTCTTTGTGAAAAATGTATTTTGCAATAAATTGTCAAAAGCTTCATTGAAGGTCTTAATGGATACTGTTGAATAAGGCATACTACACACGGCCAAAAAGAGAAGAGAACCAACTTATCAACTAAGCATTTCAGTGGTCTTCAGGCACTGAGCTAAGATTATGAAACCAGCCAAAAAAAAAAAAAAAAAAAAAAAAAAAGCTATGAACTACAGAAACTATAAATTTTGTTCTTCAATCTAATAAGCTCACTTCTGCCTAAACCCTATTTTTCTACTACCAACTTCACCACCCTCCACTACCCTCCCAAAACAAATCTCCCAAGACCTTAATACCAAAAACTTATCTTTGGTACATTAACTTTCGGACAAACACCTTATACTTTATAGTTTAATCCTATGCCTTAAACTCTAAATTATCATATGCGTCTACTGATATAGTTACTGTAATACTGTAACATTAAGCCTTTGTTCCACCACTGCACTTCACAGGTATAACCATTAACTTCACTTAATGATTTAGATTGTGATCTTGAAAGCTCTGTATCTGGTATCTCAAGTAACGGTGCTTACCTTATAACTAGCTCACTAAATAGTGTCTGTCACCAAAAAAAGCATTCATATCTGTCCTTATGATAAAAAATAAACTCACCAACTATTCCTGGTTAATAGGGGAGAAACTATGTCCATGTGTTAAGCTACCACCTGTGGAGACAGATACATAGGTCTGCAGTAAAAACCTACATATTTCTACACATATACACCATAAAACCCTGTTAACTCATTCAGTAAGTAACAACAGTATAGGTTCACATACACTTGAGCATTTTCCTGGGAAAAACATTTGTAAGCACCAAGAACTTCTAAGACTGAAATTGAGTGTAGGAGCAGCGCAGTAACTAAAGTAACAGTAACAACAAAGCTTCTAGCTCCTTTTCTTAAGGAAGGGTCCTAATAAATTATCTCCCAGCATTTAGCAGGAGACGCACAGTCAACACGTGTAGCTACTGGTATTTTTGCCACTTGAAAAGCCCTGAGACCTGCCACTGCCCAGGTGTGCTTAACCTCTGACAACGGTCAACCCCTCTGCAGGTCTTTCTAACTCTGTCACATGGGGAGCTGCTGGTCTACCTCACTGCAGGTTATGAAGTCAGAGCTGTACAGTATTTACAAATATAAGACTAGTCATTGTGTTCCAGCATTAAAGCCTCCAGTTTGATGATTACAGGCTTCAGCATACTAAGTGTGATCTACATTTTAATATAATCTGTACTGGATCTCCTAAACGATAATGCTACCAGTTTAGTAATATTTCCTCTAAGCAGGGCGGGCTAATCTGGATAAATGGTAAATGAGACTTTGGTAAATGCTGATCAAGACGCAAACCTTTCCCTTAGTGGGGAAGTGAAGTTGATCCAGCAGAGGCTCCTGTCTAACCAGGGTTACCAAACTGCACACGCTCAGCATCACACACTGAGGGCTCGAGGGTCAAATCCAGCCTGCAGATGCTCAGGTGTTTTTATCTGGTCTGCACAATGTTTTCAAGGTTCTAAAACAGTTGCCAACATTTCAATGGCAGGGTATCTGATACCAAAATCTGCATTCCTGGGTTGTCCTGCAATACAGGAAAATCTGCCACTCTGAGACCACACACCCTCACGGCCACAATTAGGGGCAGCAGTAATCTGAAAGGGGCAAGAGCTCTCCAATTTCCCCCGCCAGGTCAGTTCCCTCACTGATTTCACTTCTGGGTCCCCTGGCATCTATCTACATTTGCCACTCCTGGTTTAGACCCTAAAATTGCTTTTAATCCCTGAAATATGAACCTACAACCTATTCTCATTAATACTATGTCCAAATCCTCTGAGCAAACAAAATAAGTTCAAAGAGAAATGTGAATAGATAACAAACCGTTTTCATGGTTCTATGTTGATGACAGTGGTTAAAACACTCAGCTGCTAACCTAAAGGTCAGCAGTTTAAACCCACCAGCCAGATGGGGCAGTCTGCTTCCGTAGAGATTACTGTCCTGGGGGCAGTTCTACTCTGTTCTAGAGGGTCGCTAGGAGTCAGAACTGACTCAATGGCAACGAGTTGACGTTGGTATTGCCTATACGAACAAGTTCACTTTTTTTTTAAGTGTCTTTCTTCACACTTTTGGTTATAACTTATCTTCTATAACTGACCAGGGCCTTTCAAGCTGAATGCCATTAAAAAGTAAATCTCAGTGGTTAGAAAAACAAGCCATCCTTCAGCTCGGCGGAGGCCTAGGTCCAACTTTCTTCAGTTGTCCTGCACCTGGGTTTGACATCAGCCGCCTCCGCCGTGCCGCCAAGTTGGACCCCAAGGAGATTAAAGTCGTAACCCTGAGATACACAGGTGGGGAAGTCAGTGCCGTGTCAGCTCTGGCCCCCAAGACTGGCCCCCCGGGTGTGTCCCCAAGAAATGTTGGTGATAACATCACTGCAGCAGCCCGTAACTGGAAGGGCCTGAGGACTACGGTGAAACTGACAACAGCTCAGAGCAGACAGACTGGTGCTTTCTGCCTCTGCCCTCACCAGCAAAGCCTCCAGAACCACCACAGAGAAAAAGAAGCAGAAAAATGATAAGTACCATGGAAATACCACTTTTGATGAGATTGTCAACATTGTCCAACAGATGTGGCACCCATCTTTAGCCAGAGAACGCTCTGGAACCATCACAGAGACCCTGGGAACTGCCCAGTCTGTGGCTGCCATGTTGACGGCCACCACCCTCATGATATCACAGATAACATCAACAATGGTGTGGTAGAATGCCCTGATAATTAAGAACTACAAAGAAAAGTATTTCAGTAAAGTATCATTTGGTAAGTAAATAAATAACAAAGACAAAAATCAAGCCGTGGTCATATACTGTAGCTGAATGAAAGTCAGCAGGGACGCCAGCCTTTAGAGCCCAAAAGGCTGATGCTCAGCATATACTAACCTCAACTCATCGCAGCCACTAAACTCGGTAACGTTTTCCTAAATGTTGGTGAGATTTTGACACATCCTCCCTTCCCATCAACATATGGAAGAGTGAAAATTCTAAACGAGAGCTTTAAACACTGCACACAGCTTTTCCACAGACGTTCAAAGGGCCACAAGTCACCTGCGCCTTTCCCAGGTATTGCTTACCCATTGCACTGAGGTAATGGTTGAAGGCCTGGCAAGGAGGACTTGGGGTTTGTGTTGATTTGTCACAACTCATGGGTGCTGGGCTCCTGTCTGTGTCAAAAGAGAAATACCCGCTGGAGGATCGAGACAGCAGAGAGGATCTTCTCACAAAGATGAAAAGCGGGGATCTGGTAGCAAAAGGACCGGGGCTGGCTGGTGGGGCCAGCGGGCCCTGTGGGCTACCCTGGGGGCAGCGGTCCCCTTCACTTCCGGAATTACCTTGAGGCTCTGTAAGCAGAGAGGTAGGGGCCCCAGGCCTGAGCTGGGGAGGCTGCCGGGGCCTCTCTGCAGGCTGCAATTGTCCACCTTCTCTGTCACACTCAGAACTTACATCGGAAGGTTGCTTTGCCATTTGGTCTTTTTTTCTGTAGTGTAAAAAACAAAAAAACAAAAAAGCCCAAGATTATCTTAAGCAAAATAATAATTACAGTCAATAGGTAATGTTCACCTATTCATAAAAATTCTGAGAGTTAATCCCACATACTTTACCACCAAATCATCATTTCATACATTTCTGACAATCTCTGAATTGAAAACTAAAAATACATCAAAAATAACGAAAGTATTGTATTTATTGGGGCGTGGGGCTAAACTTCCCACCACCAAACAAAACAGTAACAATGTGTGTAACTGGTGCTCTTAGGCGCCCACGCGCGCACACACAGGCGCACACATACACATACGTTCTAAGAAAAGCAGCTTGTTTGAAATCTATTCTCATGTGCTCTTTGCTCAGTCAGGAGAAACTTGAATAACTCAGAAACCCCCAGCGGGCTCTGATTCCCCGGGATCAGATCCTGCGCCCAGCGGGCGCAGACGCAGCGATCGCAGGCGGCTGGCCGCGTTCCCCGCTCCGGCCCCATTGTTCTGCCTAAAGTGCTGAGGGCAGCAAGTCTGGGGAAGGTTTGGCAGCGGCCGTCAGTCGTAGTAAGTGCGTCACAATAGAGTTTGTAACTCAGCGCCGCTCGGCCCGGCTCTCGCGCTCGCCGCCCGCTGTCCTCCCCTCTCCGACCCGCGCGCCCCTCCTCCCACGGCGGCAGGCGCCGCACCAAACGGGACACAACTTCCCCGAAGCGCACCCGGACACCGAGGTGCACACCCCCGCATGGGAGACTCCCGAAACCGCCCGCGGCGCCCCCTGCAAAGTCTACAACTAACTCTGAACGCTAGGCAACCCCAGGGCGCCTGGCTCCTCCACCCGGCCACCCTCCCCTCGGCTGGCAATCACGCAGAAACTCACGTCTGCCCCTTCCCTTCCGACTGTGGCGTCCGGTCCCGGGGTCCGCCGCGTCCAGCCCGCGCCCTTCGCCGGCCGGGCGCCCCCCAACCGTCACCGCGAAGGCAGCGCAGGAGACAAAGCCCAGGACGCACGTTCAGAGCCCCTGGGGCACCGCAGAGCCC